ATTGGTGTTTTGATTGGGATTGTGTTAAATCCATATAGCAGCTTTGGAAATATGGCCATTTTCACTATATTGGTTCTGCCTATCCAGGAGCAGGGAATGTCTTCCATTTTCTGATGTCCCCTTCAATCTCCTTTTTTAGAGTACTGTAGTTTATATTGTAAAGGTCTTTCACTTCCCTGTTTAGTTTAATTTCTAAATATTTCATTTCTCTTCATGCTATTGTGAAAGGTTTTGTTTCCCTAGTTCCTCAGTGGCTTTATTGTTGATGTACAGGAGTGTTGACTTTGTGTCATGCTACTCTACTGAATTTGATTATTAATTTTAGGAGTATTTGGGGGGAATTTTAGGGTCTTCTATGTAGAGGATCATATCATCTGGAAATCATAAAAATTTAACTTCTTCCTTTCCTATCCATACCTCTTTTATTTCTTTCTCATGCTTAATATCTAATGTTTCGAGAACTATACTGTTTTTTTCTCCTGTTTGGTTTTAAGACAGTGTCACACTATGCAGTTCAGACTGACCTTGAACTCACCTTGGTCTAGGCAAGCCTCAAACTCATGATGATTCTCCTGCCTCAGCCTCCTGAGTGCTGGGATTACAGGTGTGCACCAACTTACATGGCTTTGAGAACTATATTGAACAGGAGTGGTGATAGACATTCTTGTCTTGTTCTTGATTTTAGAGGAAAAGCTTTCAGCTTTTCTCCATTTAATATGATGTTGGTTGTTGGTTTGTCATAGATGGCTTTTATCAGATTGAGATAAAGACCTTCTGTACCTATTTTCTTCAGGGTTGTTATCATGAATGAATGTTGAATTTTTCAGATGTTTTTTCTGTGTCTACTGTGATGATCATGTGGTTTTTTTGGTCATTACTTCTGTTTATGTGGTGTATTACATTTATTTATCTGTGTATGTTGAACTATCCCTGCATCCCTGGAATGACTCCTACTTGGTGACAATGTATGATCTTTTTGATGATTTGCTACATTCTGCTTGGTAGTATCTTATTTGAGGAATTTTGCGTCGATGTTCATTAAAGAGATTGGCCTGTGGTTCTTTTCTGATTGAGTCCTTTTCTAGCTTTGAAACCAGGGTGATGCTTACTTCCAGGAATGACTTTTGGAATAGTGCTTCCCTTTAGATTTCATTTAAAAATTTGAGGAGTATTGTTGTTAGATCTTCTCTAAAGTTCTTGTAGAATTTGGCAGTGAATCTGTTAGGACTTGGGCTTTTCTTGGTTTTTTTTAGTTTCTAAGTTGTTTTTTTTAATTTTTTAAGTTTCATTGACTGATATGAACTATTCAGGATTTTTGTATATTCTTGGGCCAACTTTGGCAGTTCATATGTAACTAGGAAACTATTCCTTCTGAATTTTCCATTTTATTAGAGTTCAGTTTCTCTAAGTTGTTACCAATAATCATATGGATTTTGGCAGAACCCATTGTGATTTTGCAGTTTTAATTTCTAATTGCATAGATTTGGGGGGGGGCTCAATTAATTTCTGCTCTGATCTTTATAATATCCTTCCTCATGTTAGCTTTAGATTTGGATTGTTATTTTCTAGGACCCTGAGGTGCATCATTAGGTCATTTATTTGAGCTTGCTCTGTTTTCCGGATGTGGGTATTCACCACTATAAATTTCCCTCTTAGTACTGTGTTCCTTGTGTCACATAGGTTCCAGTATGTTATACTGGCATTGTCATTTGATTCTAGGAACTGTCTAATTTCTTCTGAGACCCACTGATTATTCAAATGGGTATTGTTTAATTTCCATGTGTTTACATCGTTTCCGTGGGGGGTTTTTGCCTTTGCTTTCTGGTTTCATTGCACTACGATCTGATAATATCCATGAAATAATTTTGATTCTTTTGCTTTTACTTCAGGTTGTTTTGTGGGCTAGTATCAGTTCTGTTTTGGAAAAAGTCCCATGTGCTGCTGAGCAGGTGTATTCTGATGCTGTTGGGTGAAACACTCTGTAGGTATCTATTAAGTCTATTTGTTTAAATGTTTTGTTCAACTCTGAAATTTCTTTGTTGACTTTGTCTAGTCAGCCTATTTGTGACAGTGAGGCTTTGAGGTCTTCCACTACAATTTTATTGGTGTTTATATGATTTTTCGTGTCCATTAGTGTTATTTTATGAAGTTGGGTGCACTGGGATTTTGCACGTTTGTAATTGTTATCTCTTGTTGAATTGTTCCTTTAATCAATATATAGTGACCTCACCAGCATTTGTTATTGATTTCTTGATGATAGCCATTCTTTCTGGAGTGAAATGGAATCTGAGTGTTGTTTTAATTTGCAATTCTCAAGTGACCAGTGATGCTGAGGATTTTTTCATATATTAATTTGGTGTTTGGACTTCATCTGAGAAGTGTCTATTCATTTCAGATGCCCATATTTGGATAGGGTCTTTAAATCTATGGTGTCTGATTTTTTTTGAGTTCTTTATATATTCTAGATATTAGTCCTTTGAGGCGAAACTAGTAAAAATATTTTCTCACGCTGTGGGTTGTCTCTTCACTCTGTTAGTTTCTTTTTTAAAATAGCAAAACTTTTATTGGTAGGTATATTTTAGACATACATAATGATAACACTCATCATGGGAAATTTGCACCCATACACGATACCTCCCGCCTTTTTTTCTCCCATTCCCCCTCCCCTCAACACCCCCCTCCTGATGTACAAAAGCTTTGTTTCCATTTTTTCCTTCTATTTTCACTTCTTTTTCTTGTCATTTCCTTTCTTTCTCACTCTCCCCTCCTGTGTTCCCCTTCTAATTTGAACACTTTATTCCCATTTCCCAATATCCATCATACATTTTAGTCCTTATTTCCACTTTTGGTTTCTCACACCAGAGAAACAATGTGGTATTTAAACACAATTTATTTCACTTAAGAGTACTGTCTCTAGGTCCATCCATTTAGCTAGAAATGTCTCAAGCTTATCCTTTTCTTTTTTTTTTTGTACCGGAGAACAAACTTGTGACCTTGCACATGCAAGGCAGGCACTGGGACCACTGAGCTATATCCCTACCCCTCAAGCTTATCCTTCTTTATGGCAGAGTGGTACTCCATTGTGTAAAAAAAAAAAATCTTTATCCACTTGTCAGTTGATGGGCATTTGGGCTGTTTCCAAGCTTTAGCTATTACAAACTGTGCCACTATAAACATGGGTATGCATATATCGCTATGGTCTAATGCTTTTTTTTTTTTTTTTTTTTTTTTTGGTACCGGGGATCGAATGCTTTTAATTCTTTTGGGATGATATCAAGAAGGGGAATAGTTGGTTCTAATGGGACCTCTAGTTTTAGTTATTTGAGGAATATCCACACTGATTTCCACTGTGTTGCACCAGTCTACACTTCCACCAAGAATGGAGAAGGGTTCCTTTTTCCCCACAGCCCCTCCAGCATTAGTTATTCATTGATTTTTTTATAACACCCATTCTTTCTGGAGTGAGATGGAATCCCAGAGTTGTTTTAATTTGCATTTCTCAGATGACCAGTGATGCTGAACATTTTTTCTTATATTTATTTGCTGTTTCTACTTCACCTGAGAAGTGTCTATTCATTTCACATACTTGTTTTTTGGTACCAGGGATCAAACTCAGGACCTTGCGCTTGGGAGGCAGCTGCGGGCACCACTAAGCCAAATCCCTGGCCCCTCTATTCATTTCGATGCTCATTTTTGGATTGGGTCTTTAAATTTGGAGGGTCTGATTTTTTTGAGTTCTCTATAAATTCTAGACATTAGTCCTTTGAGAAATAGCAGGCAAAAAATTTTTTCCATACTGTGGGTGGTCTCTTCACTCTGTTGGTGGTTTCTCCTGCTGTGCAAAAGCTTTTTAATTTGATATGATCCCATTTGTTGATTCCTTGTGATATTTCCTGTACAATCAGAGTTTTGTTCATAAAGCCTTTGCCTACATCTATGTCTTCAAGTTGGTTTTTTTTGCCAGTACCATGCTGTTTTATCCTGGTAGCTTTGTAGTATAACTGCAAATTGGAAATTGTGATGCCCCCTGCCTTGCCCTTGTTGACCAGAATTGCTGTTAGTTTTGTTTTGCTTTTGAGACAGGGGCTCTCTATGTAGTTCACCACACCAGGCTCTTTCAGTTATTGAATACAAATATATAGTTTCAACAGACTGAAAAAACAGAAATAATTACCCAGCTTATAATAAGCCAGACATCTGAAAAACTGAAGCAGTGCCACTCTTATTTTTCATTACAAATATTAACAGAAATTTGTTTTGTTATTTTAAATTACTAATACTTTTTTTTTTTTTTTTGGTACTGGGGATAGAACTCGGAACCTTATGCTTGTGAAGCAGGCAGCGGAACCACTGAGCTAAATCCCCAGCCCGATTACTAATACTTTTTAAATGTTCTCAGTTTTATTACTTCTCAGCTTTTTGGCTAAGATCAAGTGTAAATGTTCTTAGTTTTAATTCTGGTAACAGTCAATATTGACAGATACAACCTACATAAACAGTTCTAGCCTTGTGATGGCACACGCCTGTGATCCTAGCACTCAGGAGGCTGAGGCAGGAGGACTGCTGCAAGTTTGAGGCCAGCCTGGGCTACAAAGTGATTTCAAGGCCACTCTAAACTACATAGAGACCATGTCTCAAAAAACAAAAATAAACAAACAAAGCTCTTCGGGGAACCAAAACCAAAATGTTTGAGAACCACTGTGCTATATAGCCTCTGGCACACATATATGGGTGTACACATACATACTTGTTTATATTTACATTTGTATATGTGTATATGTAAATATAAACATATATATATATATATTTTTTGCACTAATGGGAATTAAACCTAGTGCTTCACACATGCTAGGTAAGCACTCTACCACTGAGTACACCCCTAGGCCTTCTTGGTATGTTTTTTAGTTACTAAAGAAGTTAAAAACCTGAATGAATTGTTTACTTCAGCAATGAAGCCTAGACCACACAAAGCTAACTTATTTGCCATTTCTCCCCTGCAGATAAACACTACTGACATTACTAAATATCTTAATGCACACGACAAGATTGCTTCAATGAAAACAGAAGTGTGAGAACTGCATGAAGAGTTGATCACAGGACTATGAGTCATCATGCCAGGGCCTTTAGGTTATAAAAATTACAGCATGGATAAAGAATATTAATCATCAGCTACCTTTCTTCAACCAAAAACTCCTGGAATATCTTTAATGCTTCAGAGATGAGCAGCAGACAATTTAAAAGAAAGGATAAAGGATGCAACCGAGCTGTTTCTATGTGACTCGAGTCTTGAAAGATTGTATTGTGGCACAATAAAAATGTCCTTGCAGGCTGTAGAGGTAGAAAATTGGGTTAACCTATCTTTAATACAGAAACTAATTTTCAGTAATACCCACATTTTTAGTCTTGTGTTTTCTTTTTCTTTTTTTTTTTTTTTTTGGTGCCAGGATCAAACTCGGGACCTTGCGTTTTGTGAGGCAGATGCTGAACCACTGAGCTAAATCTCCTGCCCTAGTCTTGTGTTTTCTTATTTATTTAATGTTCAGGGCTGCTGTGGATTGTATTCAGGGCCTCAGGCAAGCTAAGCACACACCAAAGCACTGAGCTATACCACCAGCCCCTCCCCTCTTTTTTTTGTACCGGGATCGAAGTCGGAACCTTGCGCTGCCTAGGCAGGCACCTGAACCACTGAGCTAAATCCCCACCCCCGCTCCTTTTGCTTTTTTGAGAAAAGGTCTGGCTATACAGTTCAGGCTGTCCTTGAACTCACTGCAGTTCTCCTGCCTCATCCACCCAAGTGCTGAGATGATAGGCATGCACCACGCCACCTGGCTTCTCTTAACCTTTTGATGTAGCTTTGGCAGATAGAATCATGCTTGAAGCTAGAGGCTGCCAGCTTTCAACTAGTAGTTGCTAGTGAAACTTTGGTACAGTGAGGATAAGATGTTGTTGGCATAGTGTAATGTAAAATAAAACAGTAAAACATAGTCTGGTTTTTTGTTTTTGTTTTTTTTTAGACAAGAGTCTCACTCTGTAGTCTAGGCTGGCCTGGAAGTTGTTAAGTAGTTCAAACTGGTCTCAAACTCAAGCTCCTCCTGCCTCAGCTTCCCCAACTGCTGGGAATATAGGTATACAGTCTTAAAATGTTGGAAACAGCACCATGCCTGCCTCATAAGCACAAGGTCATGAGTTTGATCCCCAGTGCCAGAAAAAAAAAAAAAGTTGGAAACTGGGCATGGTGGTGTACACCTGTAATCTCAGGACTCTGGGAGGCTGAGGCAGGAGAGTCATTAGCGTCAAGCCCAGCTTGGACAATTTAGCAACTTAGTGAGATCCTATTTCAAAACAAAAAATAAAAAGTGAGCTGGTGATGTAGCTCAGTACAAAGGTTCTCGGTTCAATTCCCAGTTTAAAAAAAAAAGTTGGAGGGCTGGGGATTTAGCTCAGTGGTTCCACCGCCTCTGCCTTGCAAGCCCAAGTCCCGAGTTTGATCCCTGGTCCCAAAAAAAATTTTTTTTAAAGTTTGATAAAAATGAAGATTGACATTTATAAGGGATTTAAATTTTTTTTTTTTGAGTACAGATTCCTGCTTTATATTTACATCTATCCTATACCTTAAAACCACAAAATTGTCCTGGATTAATGGTAAGGAATAAAAAAAAAATAGTAAGGAATCCTCCTTAGGACATCCAGACTTCCAAAGTTTAATGTATACCTACTAATGGTCACAGACAGTTACATTCGCCCTAGGGCCTGTGATGACAGTTTTTAACTTTTGTATATAAAACACCTATCCCTTTGACACAGACTAATGAAGGTACATGTAACAGATTAATTTTTATTGGTTTTGTTTTCTTTTTTTTTGGTACCGGGGATCAAACTTGGGTCCTTCCACTTGTGAGGCAGGCAGTGGAACCACTGAGCTAAATCCCCAGTCCTAACAGATTCATTTTTTAAAAAAACAACACAAGAAGCTGAGCATGGTGGCACACACCTGTGATCCCAGCTATTTAGGAGGTTGAGGCAGAAGGACTCAAAGTTTAAGGTTAGCCTGGGCAATTTATTAAGACCCTGTTCTCAAAATTTTAAAAAGGGCTTAGGATATAGCTCAGTGGTAGACTACTTGTCTAGCATCCAAAGGCTCTTAAAAAAAAAGACTTCTTTTATAATGTTAAACCTGCTCTGTGGTATTTATTTTTTCAGAACAGAAACATTATTCAACAACCATTAACCATCAAGGCCGACAGGGTCTGAGAGTCTGAGGTTATATACAGCATAGTGTAGTACTACGAAAGTTGTCTTTGTTTGTTTGAAACGGTCTCATTATGTAGTTCTGGCTGGACTTGAACTCGTTATGTAGCCCAGCCTGGCCTTGAGCTCTCAGTGATCCTCCTGCCTCAGCCTCCTGAGTGCTGGAATTATAGGCCTGTGCCACCATTCTCAGTATCATCCTTCCATAGTTCTTACCTCCCATCCATCTCCTCACCTTTTCAGCAGACATTTTAATTTGGCTTGTGATATTTTAAAATGGCTTCTGTAATCTCATAATTTAAAGGCATAAACAGTTAAGCAATAAACACAAATATTTGTCAAAATGTTTGATATTTAACTCATTTGTTAAAAAAAAAAAAAAAAGTAAACAGTGCCAGGGATTTAGCTCAGTGGCACTGCACCTGCCTCGCAAAGTGCAAGGTCCTGAGTTTGATCCCTGGTGCGGGAAAAAAACCAACAAACAAAAAAACCATGCACACTGCAGTTCCCTACAAATCAAGCAATTTGGAAAGATCACACTGCTTTTTGTACATGGGAATGGGAGGGAGCTTGAGAGGGGAATGGGATAAAATAAAAAATAAAATAAAATAAAAAAATCACACTGCTACTCTGTAAAAAACAGACAGTGAGGGCCGGGGATTTAGCTAGTGGTTCCTCCACCTGCCTGGAAAGCCCAAGGACCCAAATTTGATACCGGTGCCAAAAAAACCCAAACAAACAGACAGCCAGGTGTGGTGGTGCACTCCTGTAATCCCAGCACTTGGGAGGCTGAAGCAGGAGGACTGCTGTGAGTTCGAGGCTAGCCTGGGCTACATAGTGATTTCAGAGCCAGCGAGACCCTGTCTCAAAAAAAAAAAAAAAAAAGAAAAAGAGCAGACAGTGAAAGAGAACCATGGTTGGTATTTATGAGGTATATTTTTTTTGGTGTTTTTTTTTTGGTACCAGGGATGGAACTCAGGACCTTTCGCTTACGAGGCAGGCAGCAGCACCACTGAGCTAAACCCCTGGCCCTATGAGGTATATTTTGAGGGTGAAAAATCTAAGCAAAAAACCCTACATCCCAACTCTACTCTCTGCTTTGTTTTGTAAGAAGGGTGCCACTGTGTCCAGTTCCAAACTGGAATCCAGAACTGAGGAAATCAAATGAAATGGAAGGAAGCAAGAACTTTAATTTTATTTGAATTCCATTTTCTAGGGGAAAAGTAAGCTTTCAAAGCCATTTAAGGAAACTTGACAGCTTTACCACAGACTGAGAGATGCACTGAGCAGTACGTGGTAGACTTCAGGCTGACATTACTGGCTCCAGGAAATCATATATTCCACAAATTTTGTCTTTTTTTTTTTTTGGTACTGGGGATCGAACTAGGGACCTCATGCTTGCCAGGCAGGCAGTGGAACCACTGAGCTGAATCCCGGGCCCTTTTGTCATTCATTCATTCATTCATTCATTCATTGGGTACAGGGGACTGAACTTGGGACATTGCGCTTTCGAGGCAGGCGGCAAAACCACTGAGCTAAATCCCTGGCCCAAATTTTGTCATTTAAATAACATTAAAGACACTGCAGAGGGGCCGGGGATTTAGCTCAGTGGTTCTGCTGCCTGCCTCAAAGGCCAAGGACCTGAGTTCAATCCCCATACCAAAAAAAAAAAAAAAAAGACACTGCAGATACCGACACCAGCATCATGTCAGAAAGCACCATTTCTACCTGTGTCTGGACATTACTAATCTTTAGTGTACAGGTCAGAGAAAAAGCAAATTTTCATATTTGTATGTTTTTCAGTACAGTTGCATGTCTAGGTCCTTTTGGGTAATATACATCTGGTCAAATTACACTACTGGATATTATTTCCTCAAAGCAAATGTCTATTTACCAAAGAAATAAAATTGTAATCTAATGTCCTAGAGATTCTCTGAACCTCTTGTGCATACCAGCTGCATACTGCTATTATACATTTTAAAAAAATAACTTTAAGTTCTCACTTGGGAATGTCTTTAGTTAGGAATAAAAAGTCTTAGAAAGAAAGCTTAACATAGGATGTTAACATTGTACTAAGCACAAGATGCTTGTTTCTCTTCCCACAAAAGCCAAACAGAAAACAAAGTGTTACTAACATTTTCTATTTATTCATTAATAAAAAGTGCATAGTACAAGCCCTTTATCCCAATCGAAGTACTCAGTAAAAGTTTAACAATAAACCCTGGATGGCACAGACATGATTTGTTTGGCATGATTTTAACATTTAAAAACAGCAAATTTACATTTAATTCATCACATGACCACTCTGCTTTTCAACAAAGTAATCATCAGAAATGGTAACAAATACTATGATCTTTTTAGTTAAGAAATATAATAAGACTAACCCTATTATTGCAACAACAAGATTTAACCATTAACTGTAAACACTCTTCATTATTCTTTCTTCAGGTTGCTAGTTTGTGTCTTAAACTAAACTGGTCAAATGCCAGCACATAAGGTACCCAGTTTGAGTGACAGACTTTCTCTAGAGTGATGGACTTCCAAGGTTCCTTCAAAAATATAAGATATTGGTAATTCCATCAACACTTCACATCACACACCACGAAGACACTAAAAATAACCATGGTATTAGAGCTACTCACTAATCAGTTTAACAATAACCCACAACCTTCAGACCAACTAGTGCTATTCAACAATTACTCCTGAAAATCTCTGCTGTTTGAAATATGACCACCAGACCATTTGCTAGTGCTTTAAAAGATAAAAATCTTTTACTATAAACAGTTCTGATGTTCACCTTTTCCATATGGAAAGCAAAACAAAAACAAAACTACCATTATTTTAAATAAAACAACTTTAAATGGCCATAAAACAAACTTTTTGGGGGGGGGTACCAGGGATCAAACTTGGGTCCTTGCACTTCCGCAGCAGGTGGTGAAACCACTGGGCTAAATCCCCAGCCCCAAACTTTTGTTTGTTTGTTTGGTACTGGGGATCGAACTTGGGTCCTTGTGCTTGTGAGGCAGGCAGCAAAACCACTGAGCTAAATCCCCAGCCCCCAAACTTTTTTTTGAGGAGTGTTTTGAACCCAGGGCCTTGTGCATGCTAGCCAGGTGCTCCACCACTGAGCTATATCTCCAGCATTTGTGGAATGTTTCAAGAGCCCAAAATGATAAAAATGTAACCTTCATCTTTCTTTTACCCAGATAACTTGAAAAGGAATACAGTATAGCTATAGTTCAAGTGAATGTTTACAAGGTGAATAATGATTTAAGAATGTGCTCAAGGCCACATGGAAAGTTAAAAGAATTAAATAGAATATAAATTACTAGTTAGGTTAATAAGAACACTTTATGTGCACTAAACTGTCTTTTAAGCAATGCAGAAAAATTAAACAAGCAAAAACTCCAGGAGTAAATACTTCATTAAGAACTTTTGTTTAAAAAAAAAAAAACTGGGCTGGGGATTTAGCTCAGTGGTTCCAGCACCTGCCTTGAAAGCGCAAGGTCCCAAGTTCGATCCCCCGTACCAAAAAACAAACAAACAAAACCTTTTGTTGCCAATGTAATAGAAGGTCCATAAGAAGAAAAGGCTGACACATTTTTTCTTTTTTATTAGTATATTGTGATACACAGTAAATACATTTATTGTAGGGGAGTTGGTTTACTTTTCTCTCCCCTCCCAGTCCTGTCTTTCCCATCCCCAAATCCTCTCCTATTCTTTCATGAACCAACTTTTTGCTTCATTGACCCTTTTTTTGTTTGTTTGTTTTGGTACTGGGGATCAAACTCAGGACTTTGCTCTTGCCAGGTAGGCGGTGGAACCACTGACCTAAATCCCTGGCCCCTTCTGATCAGTTTTGACTTGAAGTCTGCTGTATCTGAAAGTAAGATGGCTACTCCTGCTTGTTTTGGGGCTCCAGCTGAATGGAGTTTCATTTTCCATTCTTTCACTTTTGGTCTATATATTGCTTTTGGATGAGGTGTGTCTCCTGTAGGTAATAATATGTGATTGCATTTTTTAAAAAATCTAACCTGCCAGTCTGTCTTTTGACTGGGGAGTTAAGAGACCACTGACATTGGGCATTATTATTCTAAGGTGTTCATTGAAACATGTCATTGCATTTTCTGGTGCTCTTTTTTTTTTTTTTCCTTTTGTTTAACTACTCTCCCAGGTAGATATATGCTTTCTCTCTTTCTTTTGGGTTCTTTGGTGCTGAAGGCCTCCCTGTCCATCTAAGATTCCCTTAAATATGTTTTGCAATGCTGGTTTAATGGTCATGTAGTCTTTACTTTTCCATCAATTCTGAAGGCTAATTTTACAGGATATAAAAGTTGAGTTGGACAATTCTTTTCTTTTAGGGTTTGAAAAACTTTGCTTCCAAGCTCTCCTGGCCTTTGAGGTTTGTGCTGAGAAATCTGCAGTTATTCTGATGTGCCTGCCTTTATAAGTTACTTGTTTTTCTCTAACAGCTTTTAGTATTCTCTCCTTTTGTTAAATTTCTGGAATTTTGATTATGATGTGTCACAAATAGGTTCTTTTCTGGTCATAGCTATTTGGGTTCTTTTTTTGGGGGGCGGTACCGGGAATCAAACTCCGGTCCATGAGCTTTCGAGGCAGGAGGGAGAACCACTGAGCTAAATCCCTGGCCCGCTATTTGGGTTCTAGAAGCCTCTTGCGTTTTTTTTTTTTTTGAGACAGGGTCTCACTTTGTAGTTCAGGCTGGCCTTGAACTATGTAGCCCAGGCTGGCTTCAAATTTGCAGCAATCCTCCTGCCTCAGCCTCCCGCCAATTCTCAGTGATTTGTTAGCCCCAGATTCTGTAAACTGGGGTATAGCAGTATCTCTACCAGGGATTGGCTTCCAGAAGGTTAGAGAAGAGACTGTTTGGAAATATGGACAAAATGTCAAAATCCAAGGGGTGAGGGCAGTAAAAGGACTGCTGGAGGGATTTAGCTCCATGGTATGTCATTCCAGCCATTTCTGCTTAAACACTTTACCAGCTAGACAGCTGGGAAGGCTAACAGTAGGCCACAGCGAGAGGGGAAATCTTTACTCTGTGGTGTTCATTTAGCTGAGATTTAAATTACCTGCCCAAAACTACCCCTTCATTAGTAATACAGATTTGGTTGTATTATTTCAGGGAGCTGAATACAAAGCCAAGATAAAATGCACATGGAAGAATGCAAGCAGTCAGTAGTGGATTATGTAATGAAATAATGCCGTTACAATGCTTATGGCCTATAATGTAGTCATAATAAAGGGGGGAAATACCCTAAAAGTATCACACAACTGGATCAGAGGCTAACCAGTATAATGATATAGTTAAGTTTATTGAATTCACAGAAATAATTTCTCAGATCTACGCTGTACAATGAAATGCTAGATTGACCTATGGGGGAAATCCTTACATTGATAGGAAAATATCTTCTACCCGCCATAAATGAACTGTAATCATTTGCTAGGGAAAAATTCTAAAACCACATGGGTCATGCAGTCATTTAAAAATGTCATTTGTATTCACTTTTTTTCCAAACTGAGCATAACAATGAACCCTTTTCCTTTTTTTTTTTTTGGTACTGAGGATCGAACTTGGGTCCTTGTGCTTGCGGAGCAGGAGGGGAAACCACTGAGCTAAATCCCCGGCCCCTTTTTCCTTTTTTACACACTGCGAAATCTCACTTATATTAATGCTCTTTTCCCACCCTAATCCACCCCTTTAACAAACAGGAATGAGGTTAAGGGGTAAGAAAACGATTCTTTTTTTTTTTTGGTACCGGAGATCAAATTCGGGTCCTTGTGCTTGCGAGGCAGGTGGCGAAACCACTGAGCTTAATCTCGGCCCTCTAGAAAACGTTTCTTTATTGTTTCTTATTTTCCTCATTTTCCCTTGGAATAAACCAAGATGTCATTTAAAAATTTTTAAAGTCATAAGGATAACAAAAGACTCGAATTTTTTCTTCAAATAAAAGAGGAAATATGTAAATAGGCATTCAAATGTCAGTAACCAAACAGGCCCCAATCCAGATGTAAGATAGTTTCATTTTAATAGGGAAATGTTAGAAAAGAAGCTTCCTGAGAGGCACTCATTTACAAATAAATTATAGCTTAAATTATTACTGAACAGATTCTACCTGGCAAAGGCAGAAAGGATGAACTTTTCCCCTTTTCCCCTTTCTTGTAAGGCTAGTGTACAGTGACTTGCAAATGTTACATAATGGCCTATTAATCATCTACTATACTGATAACCATATTTGTTTAAAGTATTAACACTAGACATTTTTAAGGGGAAAAAAAATCGGTAAACAACCATTTCACTTTTCTCCTCTTACTATAGCCATATAAACCAACTGTAACAAGTGATACAGATTTCACCTATAATTTCTATAATATTCTAAGAGCCACCACAGTCCAGAACTAGAGAAAACTGCTGCCCACAAATAAACTAGAAGGTAAATGTAAGTACAACTGTGGTTCTCATTTTCTTTCATACAGACCCAGATAACCCCAAATAACTTTATAAATACCTTATGAAAAAATTTTTTTAATCTATCAAAACTATTTAAAATATTAAAATTCAGAAATCTCAAATTTCTTTCAATCAGGCCAGAAATCACCACAAAATTAATGATCACAGTTACAAACAGAATGAGTGGAATGTTTAAGTTTAGGACAACCAAAAAAGCCCCATGTATATATAATTTTTAATATAATCATTTACTGAAACATAGGAATGGTGATAACACAGGAAGCAAAAATAAGTTTACAAGTGAAATTTCTAGAAGCTCATGGAAATGATACCATCCCAAGTTGCAGACGCAAAAGGAAAACTCTTCTAGTGGGTTAAGATCACTCCGGTCATCTTTGTTCATTTGGTCGTGCAAGGTGTTAGCTATTTTCACTTCCCCTGTCACAAAGTTAGTCCACAGGAGGAGCTGATGGATCCTGTCCCTGGCATTAAAAAGAAATAAATGTGACTGTAATCAATATTTGCTGCAAGCATGCACAAATAAAAATAAAAAATTTTTAAAAAAGAAAATAAATTCTTTAAGTGATTTCTTCAATCACAATACAACCAATCTAACACATAGAATAAGGACTGAGTAGCAATGCTCCAATCCTTCAACCCAAACTGTGTGTTTATTTTGGACTTTTCATATGTTTTTACACATGGAAACACTGGGTTAGCACTGATTCTGCAATTTGTCTCACACTTCCCTGAGGGATTTGGGAAAGGGACATTGAGAAGCAGCAAGGTGATTTTCTTCCAGCTTCAGGAGTCACCTTCCCCCGGCTGAAATGATTGGCTGAGCATTCATTTCGAAGCCAGGTCCTTTTGTTTCTCACAGAATGTCCATGAGGATGTGTGGCTGCAGCTGCTTCTGGGAGGCATTCTACAACTGTGAGGGACGACCACATGGCAATGAAACTGGTAGTAAGAAGAGAGAAACCTAGTCTCTAATGACACTGTCAAACTCTAAACTGAAGCTGGGAGTGGTGGTGCACTCCTGTAATCCCAGCACTTGGGAGGCTGAGACAGGAGGATCACAGTGAGTTCAAGGCCAGCCTGGACCACTTATCGAGAGCTGTCTCAAAAACAAAAAAGAGGGCTGGGGATTTAGCTCAGTGTTTCCACCGCCTGCCTCCCAAGAGCAAGGTCCCAAGTTTGATCCCTGGTACCAAAAAACAACAACAAACAAACAATAAAAACCAAAACAAAGGGCCGGGGATTTAACTCAAGTGGTTGATTTAACTCAGTGGTTCCGAGCCTGCCTTGCAAGTGCAAGGACCCAAGTTCAATCCCCGGTACCAAAAATAAAAATAAATAAATAAATAAAATAAAATGTGTAAACTTATACAGCCACTTACATAAATCATTTTAAATTGGTTTTCATTACTTACAATAGAAAGCATCTGAATTGAAAGATCAGGTCTTTGGGATCTTCAGGAAGATTTAATTTACTTACACTGACATGCTCTGTAAGGGCTCAGTTAAGGATGATCAATATTTCTACTTGGAATTAGACTCAGTGTTTTCTTTTTGTTTGTTTTTTTGGTACCAGGGATTGAACTCGGGTCCTTGCGCTTGCACAGCAGGCAGCAAAACCACTAAGCTAAATCCCCTGCCCTCAGTGTTTTTTCTTGCTTCGTCACAGGGCAAAGGGACTGACTACTATTCCTAGAACCTCTGCCTACAGTGAACCTTAATCTGGGGTGTGTCATTTTTAACTACTTCTAAGTCTGGTTATTAAATTAGAATTCTTAAACTCCAAGCATTGAAGAAGTTGCTCTTTGACATGAAAGTAATAAAGCTATGTACAGTGTACGAAGAAAGGGTAAGGAAGAAACTTTATCAAGACAGCTTGCAAGCTGTTTTATGAATTCTCTTCTCTTTCAAGGAAAACCAAAAGTAAATTTAAGATTTTACTATGTGCTAATAATGCCTTCTTTCATAACTGAAGTCACCGTGCAACATTATCGAAATAGCTCTATTTTTTTCTTCTTTCAGACAGGGTCTTCCTATGTAGTCCAGGTTGGCCTCAAACTGGTAGCAATCGTCTCTCCTCAGCCTCCCAAGTGCTGAGATTACAGGTGTGTGCCACCATGCCCAGACAGCATACCTTGTTTATACAGTATTGCAAGTTTTGCTGATTATACTGTACAGTACAGTACTGTAGTTTTAAATTTTGTTATACATTACAGTACTGCACATAAGAATTATACAAATAAAAGCAAAGTCATCAAGGTGGAGTTTCCTTTGACTATTTCTTTGTTCTGAATATTGTACATATTATATACTATTCCTCATTGAGCAACCAATTCATTCAATGACCTAGGTGCAGGAATGGAACTTGGTTGTTAAACGAGGAACATCTGTATATCAAATTAAAAAGCTTCTGCACAGCAAAAAAACAACCAACAGTGACAGACAGCCAAATAGGAAAAAAACTTTTGCGAGCTATTCCTCCGAGGACTAGTATCAAAAATATAAAGAACTAAAAAAAATAGAGCCCCCCCACCAAAAGACCCAATCAAAAAACTGGTAACTGGGTAAGTGGTAACTGGGTTGGGGATTTAGCTCAGTGGTGTTGCTGCCTGCTTCACAAGCTCAAGGTCCTGAGTTCGATCTCTTTACCAAAAAAAAAAAAAAAAAAAAAGTAGGTAACTGAAATGAACAGACACTTCTCAGAAGAAGTACAAATGACCCACAAATACCTGAAAAAATGTTTAACATTTCTGGCCATTAGAGAAATGCAAATTAAAACAACACTGATATCCCACTTTATTCCAGAAAGAATGGTCATCATCTATAACTCAAAAATAACAAATGTAAACTAGTACAACCACTATGGAAACCAGTATGGAGATTCCTCCAGAAAGTAAAACTCCAAATTCCATTTGACCCAACTGTTTCCCTTCTAGGTATCTTCCCGAAAGAGTTAAAGACATCCTATTATAGTGATATACACATATTCATGTTTATATCAGCACAATTCATAATAGCTAAATCTTGGAAGCAGCCTATATGTCCATCAACAGATGAGTGGAAAAAGTGGTATTTACACATAATGGAGTGTGTACTTCTCTGTCACAAAGAAGGATATACGGGCCAGGGATTTAACTCAGTTGGTTTTGCCGCCTGCTGCGCAAGCACAAGGACCCGAGTTCGATCCCCGGTACCAAAAAACAAAAACAAAAACAAAAAACAAAGAAGGATATACAGTAAATGAGTCATTTATAGGAATGTGGATGAGGCTTGAGACCATAATGTTAAATGAAATAACTCAGTCATATGAGCTTAAATGTCACATAAGAAACAGGGATACAGATCTTTTGCAAATGAAAATGAAACCAAGAGATGAAGGGAGGTTGGAAGGAGAGGAGGGAAAGGGGATGTGAAAAGAATTAAGGTGCTATGCACATGTAGCAACTCCCCATGAGGAATATAATCATTATTACTGCAAACATTTACTAATGCTCCCCGCCCCCCCATCCCTGTAAGAGGGATTGAACTCAGGACCTTGTGTTTGCCAGACAGGTGCAGCACCACTGAGCTACATCCCCGGCCCCATGCTTCTGCATTTTTTTAAATTTAAAAAAAAAATGGAAAATTAATCTTGTTATGGAAAAACAAGAGGAGTCTTTACATGCACGGGATTTAAAAGCTCAGCTGGAAAGGGTGAGATACTGAACTGAAGCTCAGCAGAAGGTACGGGGGTGCAGTGGAAGTGTGAGCAGCAAGGGCCCAGCTGTGAGCTGGCTAGGGGGGCTGGTGGAGGATGGAGTTTCCAGTTGTGCTACCAGTGTGATCTTTGTTTGTTTTTTTTTTTTTTTTGGTACAGGGGATCGAACTCAGGACCTTGTGCTTGCGAGGCAGGCACCGGAACCACTGAGCTAAATCCCTGGCCCGACAAGTGTGATCTTTGATGGAATTCACTTTTAAATTATTGGACTACTCGTCTGTGCTGTTCTTTATGGTTGACTGCAAGGTTTACCAGGACTACATAGGAAGAACTCAATGCATGAATTAAACCTTCTTTTTGCCAATTTAGATACTGTATTTCAGTCAAAATAAGCTCTTTCTCCTCCCCAGCCCACAGACACGCACCCACTCCACCAACACTTATAACCCACAGCACTTACATTATGAGGACTGCTTGGCTTTCCTGGAGAGTTGGATCCTCTTAGATTGGGAGGTCTCAGTAGGAACAAGATCATTGCAATAACCATCCAGGCCATCAAAATCATAGTAATACTGATGCCATTGTCACTGGAGGGTCCTGGTACTAAAAGACAAACAAAAAATGTACCTGTAAGCAAAACTGTAGCCTGATTATAATACTGCTAGAGAAATGTAAAAAATTCCAATGTTTAAGTGTCAGCTTCAAATATTATATCAGTATTAAAAAATGATTAACATGAGCTGGGGATTTAGGTCAGTGATTCTGGTGCCTGCCTTGCAAGTGCAAGGTCCCAGAGTTCAATCCCCAGTACCAAAAAAAAAAAAGATTAACAATTTAGAGAATACAACTGTGGACAGTACATCTTTAATTTCCTCTTAAGTGAAAAAGAAATTTTTTTTTAAAAAGACAGGATCTCAATAAGTAACCAGACTGGCATCGAACTCTCAATCCTCCTGCTCAGCCTTCTGGCTTCTGGGATTATAGGCGTGTGCCAGCATGCCCAGTAAGAAAATCTACATGGTAAATGATGTTAAATAGGCATAAAAATTATAATAAATAAAAAATTTAAATAGTGTAATAGTTTACAACCCAGGGTCAAGCTAAACACTGAGCTGGCCCAAGAGCAGACTAGAGAGGAATACTGCTAACCCCAGTCAAGGGGCAGCCAGCGCAGTACCCGGAGTCACCAAATTATCGATAATGCTTATCAATAATGCATCAATAGCCTACTTTCCTTGTAACCATTCTTTCCTTGTTCACTCATTATACTAACCTTACCCATCTTCATAACTACAATCAGTTTTTTCCATCTAGGCTTTGTACAGGTGGAACCATTATGTTCTTCCCTATATATTCAACAACCCCTTCCCCACTGGAATCATCCCATACTCTTATTTATTTGGGGGTTTTCTTGACTTACAATGTAGCCCAGGCTGGCCTCAACTTCTGGTAATCCTCCTGCCTTAGCTTCACAAGTGCTGGGATTATAGCTGTGTGCCAGCACACCTGTCTTTTTTTTCTTTCCTATTTTAGTACTGAGGATTGAATGCAGGGAGACTGAGCTACATACATCCCTCCACCCCGCCACCAATTTTTTTTTTTTTTGAGAGAGTCTTATTAAATAGCCCAGAGGGACTTTGAACTTTTAATTCTCCTGAGTAGCTGGCATTACCAAGCACCACACCGAGCATCATGCCTAACTTTAAACTCTGCCTCACCAAACTCTTCTGAACTTTAGTTTCAAACATTCAACTATTTAGCTATATCAACAGTTCTCTATTATTTTTTTCTTTATATTAACAGTTCTTAATTTGGAGAATGCATTAGAGTCATTTGGCAGCTTCTTTAAAATACAGAAATCAGGGCCGGGGATTTAGCTCAGTGGTTCTGCCACCTGCTGTGCAAGCGCAAGGACCCGAGTTTGATCCCCGGTACCAAAAAATAAAATAAAATAAAATAAAATAATAAAAAATAAAATGCAGAAATCCCACCTTTGCCTCACATTATTCCACACTAAAATCTTGAGCATTTCCATGCCCATCTCCTACCTCTACAAACTGGGTCTCCAGCATCATCTAGCTGCCCAGGCCAGAAGCCTAACAGAACACCTTTTGTTCTCTCTCCACAGCCCTCCATTTTGATCCATCCTGAGGTTTCTGTCAATTCTGTCTCCTGTCTCTCAAATCTGCCCACAGGTAGCTAGCCTTCCCAGACTTGCTGAAACTCCTATGGTCTCTTATCTGATCTACTACAGTGGCCTCTGATCCCATCACTTCATATTCTTGCCTCCTTAGTCCTCTGCACTACTGCCAGAGTTGTTTGTTTTGTTTTTCTTGAGACAGAGTCTCACTATGTAGTTCCAGGTGGTCTTGAATTCACTATGTAGCCCAGGCTGGCCTCCAACTTGCAGTGATCCTCCTGCCTCAGCCTCTGAATATGTACTGGGATTAGGGGGATGCATCACCACACCTGACTCAGTTTTGTTTTTTAGTTTTTGTTTCGTTGGGTTTTTTTTTTTTTAAGCAAAACATTTATTGGTACATTTTAGATATACATGAGGATCACATTCATCATAGGGAATTTGTACCTGTACATGATATATCTTGCTTCTTTTTCCTCATTCCCCTCCCTCCCTTCCACCCCTAACTGCAGGCTTCTGTGCCAACTTCCAGCCCCTTATGACAAGACCCACTGCCCCAAGTCTTATAATGGGGAAACCTGCCAGACCAGGTTGGGAAACCACTTGCTACTCAAACTTCCTGACAAGCAAACACAAACACCCAAAGCACCTATTTTAAAGTCAGTAGAGACAGGTGAATGGGCCTTTAAGAAATCTGGCCATTGTGTTTGTACTGGGAAGACCTTTTGGCACTTACAAGCATCACAATCACATGGGGGATATAAAATCTGCTCCCTCATTTGGAACTCCCTGTGAATTATGAGTTATATGACTTAAATACAAATACTCTATGGCCTGGGACGATATCAAATCATATAAATGTAGAGGGACTTTGTTTTGCATTATGTAAGGATTAAATTTTTGGTTACAAGCAAATATGAGGAGAGCTGATGGTCACAGATATTATACTGAAGCTATTAGCTGGACACCAGAAAGATAGAAGAGCAGTAAAGAGAGGCTCTAAGAGCTGCAGGGCCTGAGGATCCTCACTGCAAGCTTCCACAGGTTTCCAGCAGGAAAAGCAGAAATAGCAGTGGTGAAAGTGGACACGTGCACCAAGGGTCTAATCCTGTCGATTCTGGTCATACATATAATCGTGTCATCCTCAGGTCAGCTATCAGTTTTCAACACGATTTATTTTAAACCTCACGTTAACCATAGAGCTGATCTCCATACAACTCTTCATCTGAAATGCAGTCTTTAAAAAAAAAACAACTTTCTGTTTTTAAATTCTTTGTATTTCTTTACTTTGTTTTTGCAGTGTTGGGGACAGGACTTTGTGCATGCTAGAAAAGCACTTTATCAACTGAGCTATACCTGCACACCAAAATGCAGCCTAGTGGAAGAGGGAGCAGGCTTGTTCTATACACTTCCAGTGAGCAACTATGGGCAGGAACCACAACCAAAGTGGGATTTTGCTCAGTATGAGGAATTATGCAATGACAATGACTAGATCTGCTAACAGTGGAAGTGCTGCCACAGGAAAGAACAAACTCCACAGTCACTTAAATCATCACTACACGTGCACACACTAGCAGGGACAAAGGGTACAAGTGCAAAAGGACCCTGGCCTTCAACAAGCTCCAAGTCTGAAAGGCAGCAATCACAAGTGACTGCTCCATCTGAGCCAAGTCTCAAAGATGATCAGGCATTGGTGAGCGAGAGCTTGGTGGCAAAGGTGATGGGGAAGGAGGAGCAAAGGCTGAGGCCTGCTGCACACTGGGAATGTCATGAGCACATGGGACAGATGTGACAAGTGGTGGAGGTGCCAGACTATGAAAGCTCTTAAATGTCAGGTTAAGTCAAAAATGCCTAGGCTGGGTGTGGGGGCACTCATCTGTAATCCCAGCACTCAGGAGGCTGAGGCAGGGGGACGGCCACAAGTCCGAGGCCAGCCTGGGCTATATAGTGAGTTCAAGGCCAGCTGGAACTACATAATGATACCCTGTTTAAAAAAAAAAAATCTAAATAAATTACAAGAAAGGGGAGGAGAAAGAAAGAAAAAGAGGGAAAGAATGAAAGAAAGAAAGTAAAAGGAAAGAAAAGGAAGGAAAGAAGGAAGGAAGGAAGGAAGAAAGAAAGAAAGAAAGAAAGGAGAGAGAAAGAGAAAGGAAGAAAGAAAGAAAGAAAGAAAGAAAGAAAGAAAGAAAGAAAGAAAGAAAGAAAGAAAGGAGAGAGAAAGAGAAAGGCAGCCCGGCCAGGGATTTAGCTCAGTGGTGCCATCGCCTGCCTTGCAAACACAAGGTCCCGAGTTCAATCCCTGGTACCAAAAGAAAAAAAAAGAAAGAAAGAAAAGAAAAGATAAGAAAAGAAGGGCTGGGAATGCAGCTCACTGGTAGAGCAGGTGGTCCTCTGTTCAAACCCCAACATCACCAAAAACAAACAAAAGCAGGCCCCCAAAACGAAAAGAAAATTAAGTTTGAATATCATTAACAACTCTTCCAACTTTAAGATTTTATGAAAAGAGCCAGGCATGATGGTACACTCCTGTAAATCCCAGCACTATGAGAGGCTGAGGCAGGATGATCACAAGTTCAAGCTCAGCCTGGATAATTTACCAATTCAGCTAGACCCTGACTCAAAATAATTTAAAAAACAAAACAAAAGAAGATTCCGTGAAAAGGAGGGGGTGTAGCTCAGTGGTGGAGTGCTCACTTAGCATGTACAAGGGCCTAGGTTTAATCCCTAGAAAAAAAATTGTTTTCTATGAAACTCTAAAGATGTATTTTATGTTCATACCACTACAGATATTCTTTTGTTTTCTTTCTTTCTTTTTTAACATTCATTGAATATTAGTGGTCCATATGGACCAATAATGAGTGTAGTCTTAAAATTTTAATTGAATGTTTCATTAACATATAATACTTGTAGGTATTACTGAGGTTCAGTGTGTTATTTCAACATATACATACAGTATATACTGGTCACATCAGGATAAAAATATGGAACACTTCACAAGTTGCATGTCATCCTCACGCAGGGGCCTTGCTAATCTTCTCTCTATCGTTCCAATTTTAGTATATGTGCTGCCGTAGAGAGCACTGTTGTTGTTTTCTTGAGACAGGGTCTTGCATGTAGTGGAGGTTGTCCTCCATCTCCCATGATTCTGTCTCGGCCTCTCAGAGTGCTGGGAGAACAGGCCTGTGCCACCATGGCCAGCTCACCACAGAGATTCACATAGTGAAAGTTTATGTACTGCTTATCAAAAGACCCAAATTAATACTGATCTCCTATTTGTTTCAATATTTACATTGTTTAAAAAGATTAAAATTGTTATTAGAGGGGCCAGGGGTTTAGCTCAGTGGTTCCGGTGCCTGCTTTGCAAGTGCAAGGTCCCGAGTTCAATCCCCGGTACAAAAAAAACCCCAAAAACTGTCATTAGAACTTCTAAGCTTATTAAGAACTTTAATTATAGGTTAAGCTA